TTATTTGCACATGATTTATTGTAAGAATGGGCTACGTAATACCCTTGTAAAAGTATTTTAAACTGTATAAAAAAAATGGAAATCAATTGTGAAAATCCATTCCTTATATAGGACGTTCCCTCCTGTTTCTCTAATGTTGTCTTTGAGATTATTCTTAAGCCACTTTGAAAGTCTACCCATTTGTTGACACGTAAATTTTATAGGAAAAAGTATTAAAAAAAAAATGCGATTGTTTGTTGCACAGATGATGTATCAAAAAAAAATTTTTTTTTTCTTTTCTGCTTAACAATTACAAGCTTCCCTCTGATCGAAGTGTCAAAGGAATACTTTGGTATTTCTGAGATCTAGATCTACCGAGAAGCCGAGAAACGCTTCTTTGTGTTTCGGTAGGGTGAACGGTTACCAAGAAGTCGAGAAACGCTTCTTTGTGTTTCGGTAGGACGGAATGGTTACCAAGAAGTCGAGAAACGCTTCTTTGTGTTTCGGTAGGACGGAATGGTTATGTGGGAACTTGTATTGTAAAGAGATAGATCTGTTGTACTCATTCTTCATCTGCAAAGGTTAGTGTTTACTATTGAACAAAAAATTTCTTATAGTTGAATGATTAGATCATACATTAATGTTATTTCTTCATGAATTCACCTCTGCTAAAAACCACCACGAGTACCTATATTCAATATATACAATGAATTGATCAACAACATAGTCTATATTCATTCAAATTTCGCATGATGATGTTGTTAGTAAAGACAATAAAGGAAGTCTCAAGATTGATATGACTGAAACAGGAAAACAGAGGGAAGTACATTTCTTTATTGGTAAAATAGCAATTTATTAAAATATGATGAAAAGCCACTAGGTCATCTACGTTTTTATCTTCTTGGATTGTTGTGTGATTGTTCTCAAATTGATTTATTGATGGGGTATAACCTCTAATAAAACATGTTGAGTCTGTTATCAGTGGCAAAAATTACATGTTAATATGTCTGATTCTGCAGAGACAAATTTTTTCTTCTTTGAATAAGATAATCTCTTACAAGTTCAAATTTATCCTTTACAGGAACTAAGTGCTAATGCAAAAAAATATTGGAAACATTTTGAAATTCTGCTATAATTTGGAGGACTTATCACATCGGAATGTCTTCATTTTGGTTGGTTGGTTTTATTTACATCTTTTTTTCATATATGTTTTTTCATTTTTAATTTTATTCAAAAAAAAAAAAAAAAAAGAACAACTGATTTTTATGATTATTACACGTGTATGATGTATGGCTATACAATCCTATTTTGTTGTTGATGTGATTGAATTCTTTTTTTTTTTTTTTTTTTAAAAAAAACAATTTATTTTTCACAAGATGAGGAAACATGAATGTGTCTCCGTGTTAAGGGTTATATTAGCCCTTATAATCTGAAGATATAATGCAATCAGAGGGTTTAGGGCAAGATATTTATGCTCTTTGTTTTTAAAGAGTTCCTTTGTTATGCTAATTTGCAGAACCCCCCAGAATGTCTGGTGCTGTAAACGTTCAAATAATTATCACTTAATTATTTAAACAATGTTAATGAACAGGTAATTTAATTGTTGTTAAATTAAAAGTTATCTTTATTTTATTTGAATTTAGATTCTTTAAATAATAAAATTACAATTCTTAATACAAATATAGATCATGAAAGAAATAAATAAAATTATAATCTCTATATTGTATGGAAGCTTATAGACTTCCTGGAAAGTATTAATCTTAAAAGATAACATTCATAAATAAATATAATATAATAATAATAATAATAATAATCATTATACACCATCGCCAAAACTCCTAATAAAAATAATAATAATTCAAGTAAAATAATATTCATAATTCTTCGAAGTAAAACGCAATAATCCCGATTGCCAAATTAGTAATAGCGAATTTAAAATTACGAATTTTTCTACATTACCGAATATGGTATAGATTAATTGCCTAATTTCGACTAGAATTATTTTACCGATCGAAGATTAAAGATTGTTACAGGTGCAATGGCCTGCCAGTTAGATAACTGGAAAAACATTTTATTAAATCTAACACCTAATCCCACATGTTAGATTTTTTTTTTTTGAATAATTTTTAAGAATTCACTTTGAAAAATCTAAGGGAAGGTTTATTTTTCCTCTCAAAATTGTTTTTAAAATTTCATTTCTGCATGGTCCTGGTATTATCATTACATGGATTATGCAATTTATTTATTAACATCTTGTAAAAAGGAATATATACAAATAATGACAATACATAATAATTATGAACATTGATATGAAAAAATGAAAGGATTAAAAAACTAAGTCATGTTTATTTTTTATCTATATAATTAATCATATTTAAAAAATTATTATTTTATTCTACTCTTGCAATGATATTAATTTTAATGATTATAAAATTGTTTGTTTCTTAGTGTTAATGGTTGAATCAATCACACAAGTGATAATCAGTTTATTAAAAGTTTTACTTGAAATGATGTTTATTATTTTAAATATGTAAATATAAATTTTTTTAATTAATGTTTTTTTTTGATAAGAAATAAATTTAAAAGTTTGCTTATTTGTTTTTTTTAATAGATTCAGATAGATTTTATTAGATCAATGAAATTTCAGGTCTCAAGATAATAATTTCCACATCTTTACCTTATTCATTTTTAGTAATAAATAATTTAAACTAGAAAATTATTTTTCAGGATCCAGTCAAGGATTTTTATTTCAATTATTGAATATACACTTGAAAATATTTTTTGATAATTATTTGCAGATCCACCCAAATTTAATTCTTTTCTGCTCACATCACAAGACTAATTTCAATTTTAAAATAAATGAAAACCTACAAAGTGAACATGAAATTATAAAATTATATATACGGTTATAGGTATATGAAAAATAGTAGATATAATGGGTCTATTGAATATCAAAAAGCAATTGATTTTTTAAGAAAAGGATGTGATTGTGGTTGTTCTTCAAGAATTCCCAAGGAACAATTTGCAGAATTAAGGGAATCATTTCAAGCTCTTTCCAAATCAGAACAAGGCATATTTTTAATGGCTCAACTTAAGGCAATGGATGGTGGGACAATAAGTAGTAGTAAACGCCTTAAAAAGAAAACCAGGTCTAACAAAAGAACTTTCTATCACTGGGATCACAATACATCCCTTTGTCAAGAAACTTATCTTAATATGTTGGGAATTGGTAGAACTTACTTTGAAAATATTAGAAGCCATCTGATAAACAATGGTCTTCTAGCAAGAGTTCATGGCAATATTAAAAGAATGCCTCAATGGAAAACTAAAATGGTGATTGACAAAAATGTTGCTGAGGTAGTAAAGAATTTTCTGGAAAATTATGCAGAAGTTCATGGATTGCCAAGTCCAGGAAGAAGTATCAATAGAATAGCCCAATCAATTGTATTCTTACCAGCTGAAATGAGGTACAAATCAGTGTATAGAGATTTTCTAGCTGGTCTGGAGGAAGATAGTGATTTGAAATCCTTAAAATATGATGCCTTCAGGAAGTTATGACATCAATTAACACCAGAAATTCAAATTATGAGTCCCAGGACTGACTTATGTGATACTTGACAACATTTTAGAGATGGTTTACATTACAATGCTCACCAAGAAGAAGAAGCCAAAGAATTACTTAAAAGATTTAAAGAACATCTGTCTAAGGCCAAATTAGAGAGAAATTATTATAATAAAAATACCAAATTGGCAGAAGAACAAAGAAAATTAGTTAATCAGAATTATTCCAAGGGTAAAACACAATATTGTAGTATTGATGCTACTGCTCATTATAGTTATGATTGAGCCCAAAATGTTCATATACCACATTCAGATCAACAAGTAAGTAAAATATATTACCTTAGTCCACGTAAAGTCCATTTGTTTGGTATTCAAGATGAAGCAGTAAGGGAACAAATTAATCATGTTCTTGATGAAGATGAAATCATAGGAAAAGGTCCTAATGGTACACTTAGCATGATTTTTGATGGAATTAAGAAATTGAATAGAGGTGAAAAGCATTTAAAGATTACTTGTGATAATGCTGGTGGACAAAATAAAAATAATGTAACAATTTGATTTTATTTATATTTGGTAATTTGTGGTTATTATGAAAGCATTGAACTAAATTTCATGGTTCCAGGACATACCAAATTCAAATGTGATGGTAGTTTTGGTTTGATTAAAAAACTTTATAGAAAGACAAGAGTAGATTGTCTAGATCATGTGGTTGATGTAGTAAAAAGATCTAGTCCAGCAGGATTAAATAAAGCCCAATGCTACAAGGCAGGAAAAGGTTTTCAATACTTAGATATTAAAGCTATTTTGGGAATTTATTTCAAGAAATTGCCAAGTATACAAAAATATCAACATTTTCTTTTTGAAGCATCTAATCTTGGTACAGTGAAAGTTCAAGAAGTTGCTAATGGACCTTCTACTGAATTCAATTTATTGAAAACTAAGAAAGCAGATATTTTTGAAGAAATTAGGGCCCTATCTATTTTAGTGTTAACACCACTTCCTTTGGATTACAAAAGACAAGAATACCTTTATCATAATATTCGCCCATTTGTGAAAGATGAATACAAAGATATAACTTGTCCAAGGTCATTCTATACTGGCAACAAATAAAGTATTCAGAACAAAATCATTTCATGACTTTATCATTCATTAATTTGTCTCTTACTGTCATTAAGTTTAATGAGTTTAATCTTTTGACAAATATTGTTAGCTTTTCCCACTTTTAAAGTAAAAAAGTATTAAAATAATTTACATACTTAATATGCCCTCATAAAAAGGATATAAGTATATTAAAAGAGCAAATAAAAAAAAAGTAATAAAAAGAAAATGACAAACATTATAAGTGAACTTCAAGAAAGTAATAAAAAACTGATAGAAGAAAATGAAAATTTAAAGAAGCCATTAGCAGATAAAGAAGAAAATCTTAAACTAAAAATCTGACATGTTACTGGTCAGTCTCTTGATGACAAGGGTGAAGTTGGTCTTTATGCTCCTAGGGGAACATTAGAAGGGTTTATTGATTATTCAAATGAATTAGGTGGTAGTTATGCTGGAAGCTATTCTAGAATAAGCAATTTAAATAGTCAATTGAATCAACAAAAGAGAGATTATGAAGAGGAATTGAAAAGTCAAGCAGAGGAAATTCAACAATTAGAAGAAGCATTAGAATTAGAGGAGGAAACATCTGACTGCCACTTAGAGGCTCTTGAAGTGGCTAAACAGTGGAGAATAAGACAAAGCAAAGAAAAAGATGACAACTTAGAAAGAGCTTCTAGGAAAATAGAAATGTTGGAAAATATTGTGGCATGGCAGAAATATTTATCTGGCAAGCAACTCCAAGAATTACCATCCTTACCAAAGAAAGAAGGAAAACTCAAACTCCTAACTAACAAAGTAAAGAACAAAGTTAGCCAAATAAAAGCAATAACTCAAGAAAAATTTGAAACCTATATCTTGCAAAAGAATAAATAGCATGAAATTAGAATATCAAGTTAATGAGCTGAGGAGAGGAGATAAATGGCATTGTAATTTCTGTCCTTTTGAAAAAAAAAGGAGTTTAACTGCTACTTACAAAATAGTATCTTACAATACAAGCAATAATGATTACAATGACATTGCTTATATTTGTGTTGAGTGTAAAAAAGCTCTTGATGATGATACTTTGCCATGGTTGTAATGATTGTGGTAGAATTATGAGAAACAGAATAGACTGTTTTTGTGATTTGAGGAAAGATGAACCAGTCAAAACTCCAACCATAACAGAAATAATGGCACAGAGTTATGTTGGCAGATTAGAACAGCAGAATAAAGATTTAAAACAGCAACTATCCAGTGCTAAGGAAGAAATCAGTTCTCATTTAGAAGCTTTAGAAGTTTCAAAGGATTGGCATAATAAGCAGAAGCAAGAATTATTAGATAAAATTCAAAGACTTAAAAGTGAAGTTGAACAGTTAAAGGAACAGCAGACTCAACTAACTGCTCAAATTGAGATTAAAGAAACTAAGAAATGACCTTGATTGAAAATAAAAAAGTAGTTTAAAGGATATTCTGTATAAATTGAAATTCATTCCAACCATCAAAGAAAATGATATTTATTTTCCTTTTAAAGATTTTTGCTTTTTTTTAGGTAACAATGCATCATCATGTTGCTTTCTTTTTCTAACATTTATTATTTTTCTTTCTTGGTAAATTTCATAGGTAATCCTTTCTTTCTTTAGATAAGCATCCAGTGTCTGAGTATCATTTATTTTGAAGATATAAGGAGCAATTTTTTCACCTTGTTCTTTCTTCAAATTACTTCTGATAGTACTATAATTCTTGGGTTCCATAGTAGATCTGATATAAATTAATTTCATATTAACTATTTTTGTCTAGACAAATATGCAGATAGTACAATTGTGATGTTAAACAAACACTATTGATCCCTGAAATTCTTTGTAATACCAATGTTCACTTTGTCTGGTTTTGTTGCAGCATGCCCCATATAAAGAAACTTTTCAAAAAAAGAAAAAACCACAGCCATGGATGATCAATCTTATTATTTATCTTGCATATTCAGGATGGATGATAATTAGAAAATCTGTTATGGAAAAATTCAAGTTTAGTAAAAATGTTGAATATCAAACATTTTTGGATTTATTGGACAATTGTATGCCAGCTGCATTAGATGTTTATGCTGTTCTATTCAGAGAAGGTCATTTTGAGAAATATATAGAAACAATTTTTTTGGTTATGGACATTTATGAAAAAATTTGGCAGAAAAAACTATTATGTTAGCCTTTCTTTCAGATAATTTTATTGGCAGACAATTGAACATCCAATGTATAAGATCATTTATCTGAATTTGATGAATATTTTATAGAAAATTTTCATAGTTTGATTTGTTGAATAACATAAGGAAAAAACTTTAATCCAGAAGGATTAAGAGATGATGCTATTAATATAGACAATAACAGACATGATTCTGAATTTATAAAACCATTTTATTAACAAAGAAATATCCATATACAAAAAAAAAATTTGATACTGCGAGCATGCAATCCG